TCCGTCTCTGTGAGAACAACGACATATATAAAATTAACAAGAAAAATACCTTGCGATACGGACGCTATGTCAGCAATGATTAGAAATCGGAGACGAGGAAGTATACATATTCTTTATATATTAAATTTTTAGAATTTATTTATTTATATTTTAGTGTGCACAAATAAAAGGTCGTTTTAAAAAAAGCTTTTTTCTTATATTTTTTTAAATACTGCAAGTATAACTTATATACGATATGAAGAAAATCAAGTGATAGTATTTTTACGGAGCATAAGTGAGAATACTACAGTCCTCGCTCCTGTTGTCTATAACACCAGATAAACATTTTGTTTTGAAAAATTTTACCGCTTTGTTTTAAGTTTGTGGTCGGTTTTATTTTATGAACTTTCTTTTATTTAATTATTTTAAGAGATGTGGTCTTAGAAATTGGTTAACAATTTAGGAAGAAATCGGTGAACATATCTTCTTGCACAAAAATATACATGCCCCTAGAACATAGAAATTATTCTGATTCCGAATGAACGTAAAGTACGTTATATTTAGTTTTTTTTTTTTTTTCGCTGATATAAAGATGACATGAAAATATTTCGATGATATCTGATGGTAAGCATATTTTGTTTTCTTATAAAAAGAAAACTACTGATTCTAATTGGATAAAATTTAGACAAGACCACCTCCATTAACATGCCGTATAAAAAAGTAATTCCTAAATCGATTCATAATTGGCGATGTAATCGTGTAACAGACACACAAAAAAAGAAAAAACATACAGTCGAATTGAGAACCTCCTCCTTTATTGAACTAAAACGAGACATTCTATAGTGAAATATTAAAACATAAACGAAAACAGGACGCAAGTATTTTAATTTAATATTAACGTATGGAAATGGAAATAAAAAATGCATACCACATGAAAGGCTCGGAATGTCGCCTCATGCAGAACCAGTGTACAATTCTAAATAACTTCCGTGCTCATAGTTTTTATGCACTATCATTAAAATGTACATTTTATAATCAATACTTCAACAATTTACTGGAGGACAATAACTATATAAAGCTTCTTTAGAAGTTGTGTATTTTTTGTTATTTTATTTTACAAATATCTATATACATTCTCATTGTTCGATTGCGTTCCACATATAACGCATAGTTATAAAAAATTGGTTACGCTTTTATTACAAGATTACAAAATGAAGTGGCGTTCTTTGCGAAGTATGACTTTTTTGTATTCTGAATAACCATGACAAAAAAAAATGTACTCAATTCCAAAGTGCTTTGTTTAAGTGCATCTGTACTTTGATTTCATAATTAATACTAGTCATAATATCTCTGGAAAAGTATTATGTTATAAAACAGCCCTGAAAACGACGTCGAGCGCAGTGACAGCAAAGAAGTTCAATAGAGTAGTCCTTATTTGACAGACGGACAGACAGTGCTGCGCTCGGCGTTAAGTCCGAGGGAGTTTTTATAATGTGTATAGCACAGCAGATATTTTGCGTATCTGAGATAGAATCAACCCTACAAACACTGTATCGTAACTTATAAAAACAAAAACGGGTGTTTTGTTGAGTTGTATCAGTACGTTGTTGGAGTTGTATCAGTACGTTTTTGGAGTTGTTGGTCGTACGTTGAGCTTTGTGCTTCTGTATGAACAAAGGTCAACGTACTATCTGTATAGATACCGTAAACATTTTAGGTTCACTTTACTTTGACTAAAATGTGTAGACGCATTTGTGCGAGCGCCATAGCAATATCCTTACGCACGAGTGATAGAAATATATATTGCCTAGCCATACTACGAATTTCTCTTTGTTCGGCGGCTGAGCTTATAGCGTTTTGTAAATAATGTGAAATGTCGTTTTTGTGGTAATCTACCTCTGTCTCATTAGATGCCAAAATTTCTAAAATTAATTTTAATCTCAAAATATTACCAAATACGTTCAAATTCGATTGTGCAAAAACACACCAGTGTTTTATGTATAATCTGTTATCCAAACAGGTATCTTTAACTGAAGACGACAAAGTTCCCTGGCTAAAACAAATTTATCAAGTAGATGTTTTATATACAAAGGAATAACAATGTTGTCTACAAGAAATAATATACAGAGACTTTAAATCAAGTTTTTAATATTGACATTTTATATCATGAATTTATTTGCACGAACTGTTAATACTTATAGGTTTTTTCATTACACTTCTCAAAGTATAGTTAATTTTTTTATCGATATTTCCTTGCCTTTCATTCATGTTTTGAATAAGGTAGAGTTTGATAAGCAAGGGCTTATAGGTTTATAATGTTGCCTGTACGTGATCTGATAATTATTTGAGACTGCTAGTCATAGGTAATGGTTTTGGCAAGTCAACATTACATGAAAAAGTGTTTGAAGCGCAATTTTTCTTTTTACAAATATAAAGGCAGAAAAGCCGGCAAAAAAATTTGGTCATTTTAATATAGGAAAAAGTTAAGATTATCACATCGGAACTGGCAAAAGGCTTTGCCATAATTCAACATTTTAAATGGTATGTAAGATTTACAGCTAGTTGCACAAACGTGACATTAATTAGACCTTAAAGGTGTCATTAAATCTTAATGAACGTTTGTGCAACTGACCGAAAGTAATATATTTGCGTTAGTTAGAACACTTCGAAGTGGCAAATAGCCAAAATATAAAAAAACTAATTAAAGGTTAACAATAATCGTTAACCTAACTTCGTGTCGTTAGTTGAAGAGCAAGTTTATTCAATAGTTGATGTTTTTTGTTAGACACGGGTTGAGAAATTTGTAAGTATATTCTCACTCAACTTATAACAAGATCCTCTATTATTTTCTTATGACTTTCCTTTTGTGAGTCTTCAACAAGGGGACGTGTATGGAGTCTAATAATATCCCCAACGGGTCGAAGTTTAATGAGGATACATTACACCTTCATGTTTCAATTATTTATTAGTAACTATAGTAAGTTTCGTTTATTATTACATTTATTTGTTGTATATATTTTGGTATTGAACAAGATAGATATAAAAAATAACCAAGACTATTAATATATAATTTCAACCTTCGTACTCGTAAAACAATTTTGAATGTTAATGAACTTCATTCTACATTATGTTTATTAAAAATATGAATGTTGAAGCAAAAAAACAAAGCAGTCCCCGCATTCATATTATACCGAATGTCGATAAGCCAGATTTGAGTCCTCAATTCATGAGAACCAATGTTGGAATCATATATCCGTTTATGTTATGCATATTTCATAAATAAAAATCATACCGAAATATCAAAAATATACTAAATTGACTACAGTAGATTTGAAGACAAATCTGTGATGCTTCGATTTATTATAAAAAATATTAATTATTTATTGTTAGAAATTGGGTAATTGTATAAATATATATTTCAGTGTCTATTTCTAATAATTTTATTTCGATATTGCAGTCTTTTTACAATATTATGTCTATCAAAATTGATATTTAATTAACCAATTTAAACTTTATTACATTCCGTGTCAGTATATTTTTTTGAAAGTAATTTGGTATCTTGACTAAAAATAGTGAAGGGACATAGTTAATTTACCATTATATCAACTAAAAGGATATCATGGAGGTAAATTATATTTCCAATTAAAATTAGACCAGTATTATCATTGTAACTACAAAGGATATAAATGAAACACTCGTCTGGTAAATGAAATTGAAAAAGCCAAAGATAAACTTATTACGGGCGTCGTGTTTTCAGATTAAACTGTCCGTTCAAACATATTTTGTTGGACGCGAGTTTACTCTTGTGCCACGTGTGTTGTTTTCTAATTAACTTTAAAGGGGCTCACCAGGACCTGCGCGTTGAGGGCGAGGCAATAGAGAACATTTCACACATACAGTTTCCATGAAAGCATTCTATCTATACGGGTGACTTTGAAAATTTCAGAATTTACTACTTGTGATTGTTTAGAAGAAGTAAAACCTAATATAAATAGATTGTAAGAGCGGCCTTAGTTATTAGTATAACTAAAGTTGCTCTAACCTCTAGTAAGACAACAGTTTCAAAATCTTTCTTTACACTCTACATAAAAAAACTCTCTACACAAAAGCTTTCTTTACACTTAATATAAAGCAAAATTACTAGTAACAGAACTGAACAAAACTAAATTTTGGCGAAATCCAAAAAGGGAACACCAATAATAAAAAAAAATAGGGGTCCAAGTCGCTACTAATTTTGACATTCTAATGTCAACGATGGTTTGCTTTACCAGAAATTCTCTATGATACTAGCATAACACGTTACTGGTGATAACAGATAACTGGTAGTTACAACAAAAGGTCAAGTTTATGCAATCAATTTCGAACTTAAAAAGAACAGATTGAGACTTAAAATTGGTTGGAGATATTAGCCCTTATGTACCTCTGACGTACTTTGGTTGTATGCAGTTTTAGTGAAAAATATTACTCACTAGTTGTACATAAAAAATGCATGTTAGTAATGATATCGTTAGTCATACGACCAAAGCAAGATAAATTAAAATAAACAGGTATTAATACAATAATACGTTTTTATGATCATACCATTTCTACTAAACCAAGCTTGTTAAAAAAGGCCCTTAAGAGATCAGTACAGCGAGCTATAATTAATTGACGGAACAATCTGCTTAAGTCTTCATTGAAGTTCGTAAGAACTTGAGGTTCTTCAGTAAACTAGAGAACTGATCAAAACGTCAGGGATTAAATATTTAATTTAAAAATACATTTTATATGTGGTTCACTCATTATTATACAATACATAAAAATATATTCGAAAATATACCTTAGTAGTCCGCCATGTTATATAGTCCACCATATTGTATTAAGAACGAAGTCATTTTAATATTTTCATATTTTTCTTAAGAGTTCCATTCGTTTAATATCCATATCATGATATTGCACAACAAAAATAAATAGGCTGTCAAAGGGTATTCCGCCATATTAGTTTTAAAATAATATAGTTTAGCTTACCTGGATTATCGTCTATGAATAAAAAAAGAATTCAGCCTAATCGTAGATTTTTAGTTGCAAAATTTGACGGTGATACTCTGGTTGTAAGTATATTCTCACTCAACTTCTAATAAAAGCTTGTAAAATAATAATGTCTGATGATAGTTAATGATGAATTTTGAAACAGTCGTTTCGATGAGTATCTCACATTACTATTATACAGTCACTACTTATGTATATGACGTACTTATATTTTCATACTTATATAGATAACTTATTCATTAAAATTAAAAATATTAGATACAAATACCATATTGTCCAATTGGAATCAGTGTCTCCCATGGATTTATTTTGTGATGCACCAATAAATATTTTAACTTTGAAATTTAATGCGTTCCCAATTCTAATTCGGGAAATTGTACACTTTGTTAGACCCTCCAATAGTTTATGGAGTGCCGAACCAGCTAAATGTGTTCAATTTATCTGAGCTCGGTTGTTTTGTATTGTTTGTGGTTTTGAAATTCAATTCGTATTCTATATACGTCCACTTGTAGATGAAACTTATCACATTATCTGTAGTAACTACGATTCTGTACTGTATTTGTTTTTCATTAAACATCAAAAATATACCACGAGTACTTAAACAAGCTGTTACCCAAAGAAATAGACCATGGATCAAAACTTTTTGAATTGAGTGAGCACGAAAAATAGTTGGTGCGTCGCAACGCATGGACTATTTTTATATCGACTGTCACATTAGTCTATGCTAATATCGTTAATATGTTTGTTTGTTTAATTTGAACGGTCTCTGAGCGACTGGACCTGGAGAATTAACTTGGATTCCGAATTATTTTTGAGACATAAGCAGTATTTTCCACTAACTTGCATGTCCATCTAAATTTCGAAAATATTAATAGACCTAAACATGTATTACTTGCCAGTTGCCAATGATGACATACGGTACTGAGACGTGGTCGCTTACGATGGGCCTTATAAGGAAGCTCAAAGTCGCTCAGAGGGCAATGTAAAGGGCTATGCTCGGGGTTTCTTTGCGAGATCGAATCAGAAAATGATGAGATCCGCAGAAGAACGAAAGTCACCGACATAGCCCAAATAATTGCGAACCTCAAGTGACAGTGGGCTGTAAGGTCCTGGAGTGGCGACCGCGTACCGGGAGAGGCAGTGTTGGGAGGCCCCCCACAAGGTGGACCGACGATCTGGTGAAGGTCGCGGGAAGCCGCTGGATGCGGGAGGCGCAGGACCGTTCGCTTTGGAGATTTTTGGGGGAGGCCTATGCCCAGCAATGGGCGTCTCTCGGTTGAATTGGTGATGATGATGATGTATTACTATTTAAATTTGTCTTTGTCCGGATTAATCTGGTAGGGGGTATATAGAAAGTTTGCATACAATTTATTTACTTCAAGGATTATTTAAAACTGTTTTACAATATTGTTCACAGATGTTTTCAAGGAGATTATCTGAAAGTATATTCCGAAGGGGGTACACATGGCCCTGGTCCTCCTGGTGTGAATGAATACTCAGCATGGTCAAGATCCATATGCGGGAACAGGGCAGACGCTCCACCTGCTCTCTACTCCCATGGTCCATTGCTGGTCCTCGAGTTCCACTCTGGGTCGAAGATATCTAACGCCACAGGCTTCGTTGGAACTTACAAATTCATAGATAGACGTAAGTAACATATCTGGAACTTAATAATGGCATCTCAATGGAGTTTCAATACATTGTTAGTGGCTTATATAACTTGGCATGGATTTTATTAATACAAAAATATCTTGATAAGTGAGGGTTCACATATATTTTTGTTATTTTGTAACAGGAATTGTATAAAGAAGCGATGTTATGGAAAAGCTACTGTTACCAAAATTGTAACTGTATTTCATACTATATACCATACGTAACTCTAATTATAAATTCTCCTAAATTATTTAAACGACCGAATGAATATTTGATAGGTGATGATAAATTTTGGAATTATTATGTTACTTTGACACAACATTGCCCAAGCATCTTTACTAGCAAAACTTTTAAAAATTGTACTTCTAGTATCAGAAATTTCTTTCCGAAATTGTTTTTGTTGAAGTCAATGAAATCAACAAACAATTTGCTCTCAAATAAATCTTCATTATCGCTCGTCCAGGCAAGTCTGCGTTTTGTTGCCCTCGTTTCATCAAATAAGCTGGCATCACGAATCAATACACTCACCGTTAATGGACTTGATGAGTTCAAGTTGCTTAATGGCTCGAAATCGTCAATAACAAATTATTAGCGAGATCATTGATTTGAAAATGAGTTTCATTTGAGTAACTTTACATTCTCATTATTCAATAACAGCTTTTTTATAATAAAAGACTAACATCGTTTGACTTAATTTCAATTGCGTTACATATTTATCTGGCTTTTATGATTTATGACTCATTTTAATTAAATTGCAACACATATCACTAAGGAAGTGAAATATGTATTTTAGAATCGTCTTTTGTAACTCTTTTTCTGTCTATTCCAGCGTGAAAATATTCAACATAGATTTTCTTTACATATTTAAAGGTTTCGTAAAGGTTGTGTTAATATAGATATATTTTTGGTTATTTATATTTAAGTGATACTGTCAGAATACAGTTAAAAATGGGCAATACTGCCATTTTATTTAATTAATTATTATTTTAGTGGAGTTTAAATTTGAATATTACTCTAGCAACACTATCGTTCAGTACTATCGCATGAGATTAGCATTGTCTTTCAAACCTTGTCTGTTATTTTAACAATGTTCTAAAGAATGCTTTGCAATATTACTTGGTCGTAAGTTCCCTTCATGATAAGTTATAGGTCAATGTGTGTATTATATTGGTAAGGTTTGAACTATGCCGTCCAATGTTCGGCATTGGAATTTTCATTTAACCGGCTATTAATAGGGAAGAAACTTTAGAGTATACAAATCTGGATTGGTATAGAGCAGTACAACAACTTCAATAAAAGGCCAAACTTATGAACTGAATACTTCAGTTCTATTTTACACTTGTAAACTAATTAAGGTTTAAATTCGATCTAGTTAACAATTTGGATGGTATACAGTAACTTGAGTTCCGTGTACATAAGTTCTTCACGTAAAAATATTTATATTATAATTTTACTTATATACATTCGGGAAGATCACTTGAAAGTAATGTGTGAGTAAGAAATTAATAAAGAAGACATATCGAAGATTTTCCACGGTTAGAATTTTTAATAAAAAAACTCGCAAATAGGCTATCAATAGTAATAATTATAATTGATAAATCATTAAATTTGTTTAAAATATATATATATATATATATATATCTTTGGCGCAGTTTATAGATAATTTTTATTCAAAAGTTCCCGTGGAAACATACCGTAGCAACTCTTGGCTCCATCTAGATCTTAACACCAGATACTCTGATAGGTATGCACTTTTAAAAGTATTTTCTTAATTTTACCATTTTCCTCTGTATAAGAATCTGATTGAAACTGCTCATTGGTTTATGGGTTCTCGAACTTTACAAATAACAAAACATTTAGGGATTAAATTTATTTACAAGTATAAAGAAGATTTAAAGTCTAGACCATTAAGAGATCCGCATCTTATCCCGCTCTTATTTATAGACTATATGTGACTGTGCCTTTTTTATTTCAAATAAATTGGTCAGTTACATTTTAATTTACCTATTTACTACAGGTAACTTCGAAACAGATGGTATTCCAGTGCCAGATACGTGGTGTGACTACGTGTTTAACTCGCAGCCAAATAGACCAGCTCACGGCCGTCTATATAGCCCCAGATACCCATCAAGTTACCCAAGCAACATACGCTGTACTTATCATTTCAATGCGAGGTAATGATAGTTTCAAGATTTAATACCTATGAATAAGCATTAATGATCATAATATTTAAACATTGTATCTTAAGTCTTGTTCGTATTCTATCGAAATTAAAAAACAAAAAGCAACCAAATATAAATTAATCTGATTCTTCTAATAGTAAATATTGAATAATTAAGACGATTTGTATAAAATTGTTTTATTAAAATAGACTATTACTTAACACAGTTAACTTTAATTAATCTAAACTCTAAAGAAACATAAAAGCCGATTAAGCATAATGAATCACCAGGCGAGCCTACATTAATCCGAGCTATACAATTCAAGTACACGCGTAAATAGTAGCAGAGGCTTGGCAATACGTTTGGATACATACAATGGCGAAGTTAATATGCCAAAACATGGACAATATAAATCTATAATTATTATGCCTCTTACCCATTCTCTGTTCATCGCACACACAATCAGTTAGGAGGTGATTATTCAACAACATACCTAATGAACAACCTAATGAACAATCAATTTTTAACTACTTTCACGATATTGAGATAAGTGCGAATGTTTTTAATTCAAACTAATGCACACGCTACGGAAAAATAATCGGTTGATTTCGTTTTTTTTTTCTAAAGAAAGAGGAAGTATTAAAAAAATAAAGAAAGCACTAACAAGCACCTCACTAGATGGCGACTGTAGCAAAAGTTGATTTTTACAGGAAACAAATTGACCAAAGATCATATTCGGTCCTTTTAAGTAATATATTAAAATAACTGAAAGGAGAATGGGCAATTTGCTATGAGAGTTTGGCTATTTTTGCGTAACCGTGCACATTGTTGAAACCAACTGTAAACGATAAAGAATTATTTCTAGAATGAGTAGGAAAAAATCCATTTCAAAATTATGCCGGAGTTTGAGAATATCTGAATATTTAACAGAGTTTTAGAGGTTATGTCTTTATAATATCTAAGTACATAAGAGCAATAAAATGAATAATGTATTTCAAACAATCGATGACTAACGGATATTTAATTGCGATAAAGTACATATCAATACCTGTCTTATAAATAGATAAATTGGATTTTTTATTGTAAAGAAATAAACCAAAAAACATTATCCAAGATAAAATAATTTATTTGGTAGAAGTTCGCATGTCAAGTCGATTAATAACTTGAAACTTAGTAGGTACTCGTAGTTACAATGTATATACTCACCGCTGAAGGAAATATTATATCGCCTTATCGAGTCTATTTTTGCATGGTTCACGTTTATCCAAGGCCATATCATGAGTCTAAATTAGTCAGTTTAGCAAATGTTTTAATACGTTTAATTTTATACGCCGCATAATTATAAAATATTATTTATATAGAATATATTATAGTGAAAGTAAAGATTTTTGTTAATAAAAGCATAGTGCGCAATTTGCGTTATTATATCCGACTTTTGCCCATTCTCCTTTGCAAAGTTTAAAACTTAGATGTCAATACAAATACGAAGAATTACAAATAGAACAAGACTTGTTTATTGAGTTTTGAAAATTAATTTACTTTTATACATGAAATAAAACCGGAAGGGTTGTTGGGAAATATTTTTTTTAAATACTTTCCCCATTATTTATTTGATATAAAAGTTTGCATAAGTAAATTATTTCTTTATCTTATATTTTAGCGTTCACTACTGATTTAATCAAGACAGATAAATTGTGTTTGTTACTACAGAACCTGCAAAGGCTCCGAATCGTTAAAAAATATAATTACACGCTCTTAAGTTCGTTCGAAATCGGTATATTAAAATTTTCAATAGAGATACAACCAGGTAAAAATATAGATAATTCTAAAAATAAATAATAGTCTACGTTCAGTGATTGAATTCAAATCAAATATGCAAATGATAACGTCGCTGAGCAATTAAGTTTTTACGATATTTTATTATTCAGTTGGGATATCTCTTCTATAATAAGACTCGAGGCACTTTCAATGAGCAATACTAAAAAGTTTCACGAAACAAATAATTGAAGTTTCAACTGAACTGAACTGAGTTGCGCTTATATAATATTGATGGAAACAGGAATCTTCACTAATATTATAAAGAAGAGAGATTTTATTTTTGTTTTTTGAAACTACTAGATTTTAAAAATTGAATCACCCAAGGGTCATTTACATCATAATGTCCCTTGTTACATTATATAAAGTGAACATAGACCTATTTTATCCTAAAAAATAGCAAATAAAGAGATGAAAGTTGGCATAGGGAATTACCATAGTAATCATTGTTTATTATTTAATTTGTCATTACAATTATATCCGTATATAAATCGATATCCAAAAAAAAACAGTTCCCTAGAGACCACGCGAGCGAAGCCGCTGGCGTTAAGCTAGTACTAAATACAATTCATTTGAAAAAAAAGAATCATATTAAAAGATTTAAGGCAAAAAGTAAAAACTTTTTTATTATCAATCACTCTATGTTATGTTTGAAATTATTGAACAATTATTTTTCGTTATTAAAGTACATAGACTCACTTCGTATCCAAAAACGTTGAAATTTTTTTAATTTATATATAACTCTTTTAATTTATATATAGAAAGCCATTGTAAATGTAATAGTAGGGTACATTTTAAGAGTTACGAGGACGTGAACTTTGAAATAGCACTTTTATCACCTGTATCAGTTTTTTATTATGTAAGATTTTAAAATCTATCCATGGTAAAGAAATAAATTTGCCTGTTCGTTAGTTAGAAAGCCTTGAAGTACCAAAGGGCCAAAAAGGGGGCACCGGATCTTCAGCCCTATAATGTTAAAAATAAGCATTGGATGTCATTTATTTACACTTATTCTTCTGTTTCAGACAAAACGAGAGGATAAGACTACTTTTCGAAGAATCATTCCTTCAGAAAGGCGATGAGAGGTAAAGTCTTCAGAGGTCATAGGATATGTGATATATTTTGAGACAATTGTTATTTGAAACTTCTTTTAATATTTTTATTTACAGCTGTCTCGACAGAGCCGACATAATTAAAGTTTTCGATGGTAGATTGCCAACAGCTCCCGTGTTGGCTCTAATTTGTAATGAAGTTATAGGTAAGATTCAAAATGTCAAGTTAAATTACGGCTTCATAAATTCCTAATCTGCTCCTTAGTTTATAATTACTTATACACAATATGTTGGTGGTCATTAGACTTCTAGCTATACTAATATATAATTCTTGGGAATTATGTCTTAGTCTTAGGTTTTAGTCTTTTATAACGCAGGTTTTAGTCTCTCGTTCCAACTCCACTAATTAGTTACGCTCATTCTCGGTAGGTGGAAACTTTATTATAACGTTAACACTTGTTTTCACTCACCTATAATAAAGCATAGCTTTACAAGGAAACGCCTAATCTTACGAATCGCCTAGGCATCTAAGATTAGTTTAATTGCAAAAAAATAAAAAAATCTTTTATTCCTTGTCACATTTGTAATATTACGCAAATGCATGTGTCATAATTTTAGATTTTTCATCACATTTTGACAAATTTGGGCGACTCCTAAGTTTAGTGAAAACGGGCGTATATTTTATATTAATCGTTTCATATAAGCGATATGCAAAAAAAAAATACTTTTTTGCTAAACTCCCTCTTAAAGTTCGTCCTTGCTAACTTAAAAAAAGTATCTCATTATTTCATTGCCAGTGGCTCTCACGCCGGTTTCAAGGTGTCACTATATCTAAAGTCCCGGGCTCAATTCTCAGTTGGGTCGATGTAGAAAATTATCTTTTTATATTGTCTCTGGTTTGGATGTTGTGGTACATTCATTGTTTCAGATACTATTATGAAGCTGCGCATCTTGTAATCTGAGCAATTTATGTGATGTTGTCTTATATTTTTTTTTTTTTAATATGCCTACTTCAAAATAGGTTAATAATATTCTATGGAAAATTTTGCCCTGATTTTCCATAATGTTGTATGTAAATCTATTATTATTCCGGGATACCGTATTTAAAATAAACTATTTTGAAGTAGAAAAAATGAGCGACTTTTGTCTCTATTATTAGTTAAGTAGTTATGAAAACTGAGAGTAAGTGAAGTAAAAAGAAATATTTTTATACAGGTTATGAAATTTTATCAAGTGGTCCAGATCTCTTAGTACAATTCACGGCGAATTCTAACAGTCCAGGGCAAGGATTCAAAGCGAGCTACCAGTTTCAAATGGATGACATAATTAGTACAGGTTTAGTAAGCATAACGTTGAAGTTACGTGTCGAAAAATATAAACACAGGAGGATAATACGTGTCAACTAATATAAGAGAGAAATATTATCTTGTTTAAAGTCATAATATATATTTTATAAGTAAAATACTATTCTTATCAAAGGAGCTCTATAGTGTAGTAGTTAGAATGTTCTGCGAGACGATTGCTAAGCAACTTTCTCAAAAGACAGTCATAGGATGGGTGACCAAAAAATTATTGTCTTCACCTCCTCCGTGCTTCGAAATTGCAATGGGCCCGCGTCCTGGCCAATTCTACTTGTTCGATTCTATCCATAGGGAATGTTTGTGCCCCAGCAGTGGGGACATTAATAGGATGCTGACGAAGATTACGATTTCTATTTAAATGACAACGAACTTCTAAATACGCTGTATTTGTTACATCTTAATCAAATTTTATTAAGTTGTACCGAATACAACAACATTTCTAGAACTGAAATTAATTATGTGAGCATCAATAAATAGACGGAGAGCTCGTGATAAAAATGTGCAAGAGTTTTTGCAAGTTTGACTTTAGTATGTTGAAGTAGGCAGTGCGGAGGTCAGGCGGCGGCGGGGCAATGTAAAGTAAAAAGAAATAAAAATGCTTTGTACTAGCTTTAAATTAGGAATAAAAATATTAATATAAAGAAACTAAACCACTCAAATTGCACAATCGCGAAACGCGGTTACTCAGCAGATCTCAGAAATTGATGTGAAAATGAGTTTCGTAATGGTTAAAAGTTCATTTAGTACTAAATTATTTCTTTCATTTTCAACAAAAACATTTTTTATCAATCGCCACCGTCACCAGGTGTCCCAGTGCCTAACCTCCGCACTAGATATTGAGTGATGTAAAGTACTTCAACAAACTGAAACATCAAGCATTCTAAATCTTTTGCACATTTTTGCTATGACCTCTTAGACTATAAGGCTTAATTACCTACTTGGATTTGACTTAACATTATTAATTATACGAATATCATTATTTATATTATAAGCGTTGAAACTATCATTAAGTAATTCAGGTATCAAGTATAAAAGAAACTGAATTTCTCGTGTAATAAAGTTCCCTTTTCTTCCACCAGATTCTGATATCAGAAAATCGAGTACTACTGAACCAATAACTGGCTTGGGACCAGCCGTTAGTGCTGCGAGTAAGTTATCGTTATTTTATTTACTCTAAAATCGCTTTGTTCGCTTCTAAAATCTGGTTTCACGTACAAAATCTAAAATCTGCATTTTGGCGAACTCACAAGCGTGCAATAAATATAACGAGCAGGAAACATGGCACTTTAAATAACACTTTTAGATAAAATCGTGTTCAGCTTATTTAGTCTCGGGTGAAATATTTTAGAACTTGTAGTTTGCATATTTTAAACGTCAAAATATAAGAATAAACACAATATAGGTGGGTGGAACTCTGTTAACGGGTAAATGACAGTTAGGGGCCGTCCATTAATCACGTGTTGTTATTTCAACATTTTTTAACCCTCTCCCCCTTTGTAATACATGATGAGGTTTAAAACTACCTCCACCCAAATCACGTGTATTTTTTGTACCTACAAAATATCTTAATTTTTGACGACACTTTTCAGCTTAGTAAACGCGCGTTTGAGGAGAAAATAAATACACGTGATGTATTACTACATCACGTGTATTTATTTCATGATTTTTGTCGAATTTATGTAACTGGTTAAAAATGATACGATAAGAAACTCATTTAAAGTTAGTAAAAAAGAAAATAAACTCAACAGTATAATAAAATAAAATAAATTCTTCAAAGAAAAACAAATAGTTTATAAACATTTCACAAATAACAAGTTTCACATTCATGATGGTGAAAAGAAATAAAACGCGTGACATTCCTTTAATAGATTACGGTTCGTTCGCTTCTAAAATCTGGTTTTTCACGTACAAAATCTAAAATCTGCATTTTGGCGAACTCACAAGCGTGCAATAAATATAACGAGCAGGAAACATGGCACTTTAAATAACACTTTTAGATAAAATCGTGTTCAGCTTATTTAGTCTCGGGTGAAATATTTTAGAACTTGTAGTTTGCATATTTTAAACGTCAAAATATAAGAATAAACACAATATAGGTGGGTGGAACTCTGTTAACGGGTAAATGACAGTTAGGGGCCGTCCATTAATCACGTGTTGTTATTTCAACATTTTTTAACCCTCTCCCCCTTTGTAATACATGATGAGGTTTAAAACTACCTCCACCCAAATCACGTGTATTTTTTGTACCTACAAAATATCTTAATTTTTGACGACACTTTTCAGCTTAGTAAACGCGCGTTTGAGGAGAAAATAAATACACGTGATGTATTACTACATCACGTGTATTTATTTCATGATTTTTGTCGAATTTATGTAACTGGTTAAAAATGATACGATAAGAAACTCATTTAAAGTTAGTAAAAAAGAAAATAAACTCAACAGTATAATAAAATAAAATAAATTCTTCAAAGAAAAACAAATAGTTTATAAACATTTCACAAATAACAAGTTTCACATTCATGATAGTGAAAAGAAATAAAACGCGTGACATTCCTTTAATAGATTACGGATTATGAGACAGAGACGACCTATCAATAGAAGTCCCACGTCACATTATTTATTAAATAAGTCGAAACATTTCTAAAACTGCTCACGTATCAAGTGAGAACTTAATAAAAATTGAAAGCGGACTACAATTTAAGTTGAAATTTCAGCGTCGTCCTGCGATCAAGTATTCAGAAGTGATAAGAGTAAAAGTGGGAAGCTCAGCTCGCCTTTGTACCCGAAGCCGTATTTGCAGAAAACGCAGTGTCATTACGACTTTTTAGCGAGAGGGAGAGAAAGGGTCAGGCTCGTCTTTGAAGATTTCAGCATGCAGAGGACGACAAATAATGTAATTGAGTAAGTTGACAATTTTTATTTGTAGAAATTTCATCACGCATCGTAATCTTGCTTGAATTTATAAATAAGTTAATAATTTATACACTTTTGAAATGGGTTGGAATATTTTAGTATAAACAGATTCATCATACTAAAGTGTCAATATTTAGAGGTATGTGACATTAAAATTATATTGCAAAGTTTCTTCAAAGTATTATATTGATAATTTATACATATGTTATAAATGTGAAATTAAGTCTGTTATGCTTTCACACTTTTACCACTGAACTTATTTAAATGAAATTTGGTACAGTGAATAGAGACAATTATGCGGCATAGGTTACTATTAGAAATTTAGGATAGCTCCTAGGGAGCACAATGAAACGACCCGCTGTGGTTGATTTGACAGAGACACTAAAATTTATTTATTTTATAAATACAATGACATATGTTAAAAAAGATCAAATACATATTATGAAAGAGTTCGCATCACTTACCTTTAATAACGAAGAAGTATTGCGAGAATTTTGTAATGAGAGATGAAAATATGCATAGAGCTATACAACGCAGGCGAAGTCGCTGGCAAAAGTTAGCGTGCCATAAAAAGGTGTTTGGTATATAATTATATTAATTTATGTCAATGGAGCCCTTTGGAAATGGAAATCATTTGTAATGAGATTGTAACTGATTATTTTGTTGCACCATCTTTCTAAAGCTCTCTGCTACATCTCCTCGGTTGACTTCGGTATAGGACGTCTAATGACAGGTCCCGCCATACGTTCATATTTATGTATAGTGACATTAAATAAATAAATTACATAATCCTTTATACAAATTACATACTTATTTAACGAATTTTTCATTTACGTTGCCATTTCAATTTACGCTAGAGAAATATAAAAAAAATAACTATTTATAATAGAGTTTGTAGAACTTGATATTTGGTTCCTTTCATGATGTAAGTGGGGACTAAGAAATGATTTTTAGAAATTCAACACCTAAGGGAGTAAAGTTTACTTGGGATTTTCCCATTTCTGGACTTAGAAGTGAGAAAATAGATATAAGTTCTTGACTACAATTAAAAATGATATGTGTAGATGAACCAGACAACGCGGTCGTCCGCGTTGTCTGTTTCAGTTTTGGTCTGCGATTTCGTAATCGCAGACCAAAACTAATAAGATAAAATCTGAGTACATAATAATATTTTTTATTTGCAGCTGTGAGAGTATGGACTCGCTCGATGTATTTTTGTATGTAGACGGTCGGTTAGAGAAGATGATTTCATTTTGCGGCGATGAGACGCCTAAGCCAATAATGTCTAACGGACCTAAGTTGTCTTTAGAATTTCGGGGAATGTTCTCTTCGAGACGAAGTATAGGATTTAAGTTGTCCTACTATTTTGTGGAAGGTAAGTGAAATTTCTTTAATTATCTAATTTTTTTGCTTATAAGCAATAAGAAATTTTCATTTCCGTGGGTATAGTGTTTTGACTTTGACAAAATCTTATAGCAACCTAGACTTACTAAATGATTTTGTTTTTAATGGCTCTCACTTAACATCTATCATGATAAAAATATGCAATTAAAAAAATTTGAACATTAAAAACATTAAAAAATAGAACGAAACTAAATAATACATCAACAGTCAAAATATCCACTTTTTAAATTTCTGACAATTTATAAACATTTCTGTTAACGTCGAGTATATTTAAGGTTTCAAAAATTAAAAACGACCTCTCCCATTCAACTTAACAGAAGGATCTACAATAAGAACTTTATTATTATTACGACAATTAATTATACGAAGGTTTACCGAACGTCCACAAAAATTAGACGTTTCCCTTTGTTAGCTTTATAGGATGAAAATTATAATCCTCCATGAAACATCGTCTGAGCAGGGTTGGGAAAGAAATGAACTTTTTTCTAATTTGTATTTTTCATTGTTTTGTTCTCGTTTGAATTCCGAAAGAATAAAAAATATTCATCTAAGATTAATAATTTGGAATGACCGTCAGGGTTGATACTTGATCTGTAAAATAAAATCGTGTTTTAAAAATTGTTTATGCTATTAACAGCAAAAAAAGAATTAGTGACATGGTGTTAATTCACTGGTTTTATATTTTTAAATAATAGATTCCTCATAAAATTTACTGATAATAATTTCATTTGTTTCGCGTTCTCGAGGGTGACGGTAACTAATTATTGTATCCCATAAGGGTTAACAAAGGGCTGTTTATTAGAAACAGGCAACTCATAAAAATAAGCAGAAATCTTAACCCCGTAACTTAGACAAAATATAAAACAAAAAGATGCAAACTAATAATTACCTAATAAAAATTTATAGTCATACACTAAAATGGGTAGTTCCGAATTTCAAAGATTATTGAACGTTTCCAGATTTGACCAGAGTCACGAATAAAATACTTTTTAAAAGTCATTCACAGTAAAGCTATATATTTGCCTATGCATTAATTAGAACGCTTTGAAGTGTCAAATGGCTAAAAGGGGTCATTGGCCAAAACTGGATCTTCTCCGCTATATTAATAAATCCAGAAAAAAAAATCAAATGAAAATCCACAATATTTTTCTACACGCTGTCGTCACCAACCCTACATAAGCGCCGCCCATTCCCGCGATCCCTACAAAAATATACTGGCGTTTCAATAAGAAATCTGCTTCATAGATCAATCTTTCCGTTCAATTTACTTAAGCGGAAATGTAAATACGATTTATTGCCCCCACCTGTTTTATTAAAACGTGGATACAGTTCCATTTTCCATTTCTCTCTCTTACTCTTTTTTTGTTTATCAAGATCGACCTTTGACTTTAAGACCCTTCTGTTTGTTTTGTCAGGTAACTGATTAGATGTCATTTTACCTTTAAATAACATTTTAGTAATATTGTTACGGTTATAGAATGACTGAAGCGTGGGTATATCTTACTGTGCGTGGGCGTGTATTAGCGTCATCTGTGTTTGTTACCTGTGATAAAATAAAAGCATATTGAAAACATCATTCGTAAGTAAGTTATAGTATCACTTAAGTAATATGCCATTTCTACTACGTCAATTTTATCGTAAAAATTGGGGTGTTATAAGTTTGACGTGTCTGTCAGTCTGTAAGACTGCTATAGTACCGTAGCTCCTGAAGTAATGATCCGATTTCAGTGCGGTTTTTTATTCGATAGCTTTGTTCTTTGCTGTATTTTATGGAAATTGGATAAGTAGTTTAGGAGCTACAGACACTTTACTAAAAAAGTAGCTACTTTTTTTCAATTATTTCTACTTACGAATACCGTATCGTATAGCTTGTAAATGAATAGGCTGAATTGATTGGTTTTTTCTTTTATATATAGCCTCATCAAGATCATTGTGAATTATGTATTTTAACAAAATTATAACAACGACTAGTAATATTCCGAATTTTAGTTCAAAGACATTTATTGGTTCATGTTAATTAGTAAGAATAAATTCTGCGGCTGTATGCTGGGTAGTGTCTATAAAGCAAACGGTGTCTGTCAATATATGTGCTGGTGTGTCTGTCACCCTCAATGTCTGTAGATATAAATGAATCTTAAGACTGCTTTCATTTTATACTAAGAGGACTGTTATTGTTTCAGATTACGCCATCACTACGGGGAATCAACTATTGGAATTTCCATGTGCCTTTGTATTTAATAGCAGTGAGAGGACCAGGGGAGTGGTGACATCGCCAAACTATCCCGGACAGTATCCCCGTGATACTGAGTGTAATTACTTCTTCTATGGATTCGAAAATGAGAAGATACACCTATATTTTACGCACTTTGACGTGGAAGGAGTGTTACCGTGAGTTTTCATTGTGATTCCGTAACGCTCATGTTCAAATCCATTATTACATTATGAGAATCAAACTAAAAGGAGTCAATGTAGAAAATTTACTTTTTTTTATTTTTCGTATTAATAGTTTTCAATGCTTAGCTTCAGAGCTATCATCTAAACTAAACGACTGTGACGATATCAAACTTATTTGAATGGAAATCAAGCTATATTATAAAATTAAGAAAACAAAATCTTCCAGGTTTATTTATTGATCCTGTAACATACTTATTAGTGGTGTTTGTGACAGAAATGAATGACGCGTTTATTTTGTTTATTCAAAAACTGTTTAATTGTTATTACCGTTTTTTAAAAAGATTATTCAAAAATAAGTTTTATAACCAAATGTTAATCATTTGGTCTTATTAGATAGTTCCATAAATTTCAAAGTTGGTTGACTGTTTTGGATAAAAAGTAAAATAATAGTACATTACGATATTAGTGCGTTATGGTGGTTATAACATGCGAGGCGGAATTTCAGCCCGAGCCGAAGGCGAGGGCGTAATTGAGCCGAGCATGTTATAACCAATACGCACGTATATCGTACAACGTTTTTTAACACATTTGCGAGGAAACAGGAAAAAAACATAAAAGAACCACAATCTGTGAATGTACACTGTTGCTTTCCCGCCATTTTAACAGCGCGCTAGCGCTGCCTACTGACTGGCGCCGCGCGGCGATTAGTTCGAAATTTGAATAGCAACAGCGCGCGAAATGGCAAATAATACTGTTATCGAAATTGTATGGACTATAACTTAACTATTTGCTTTGGTAACACACGCGTTTTTTATGACCCGCTTTACATATTTAAAACCGGTGGAATTACATCAGCTTTACCAGCAAAGGTGTTAAAAAAAGCATTAATAATATAGATTGTATTAATTGTATATTTTTAAATTATTCATTAATCTTCGACATCGTTTAAGTGATATAGCTGTGATATAAATGTAATTATTGCAGCATAAGCGCAGCGGCCCGCGATCATTTTCGTTAAGCAACTTTCGCAAGTTTCAAAAAATTATCATCTCGAGCTACTCCGTGCTTCGGAAGGCACGTTAAGCCGTTGGTCTCGTCTGCATTTGCAGTCGTTAATACCCTCCAATCCGCATTGGGCCAGCGTGGAGGGTCATGACCCATCCTCCTTAACCATCCATAGGGAAGGCCTGAGCCCCTGCAGTGGGAACGTAAAAGGGCTGATGATTGCAGCAGATCAAGTTCCATGTGATCATTTTTATAATTACCAAGACACAAGAATGGGCGGTAGGTAAAGTATGTTAGACGAAAGTGCATAAAATAATTTCGATAAAGAATTCTTTGTATTTTGTCAGGAACAATTGTGTTTTTCCACACTTTTACGTTTAAACGAAATATAGTTGATATTAGTTCTCATCGAGTATTGGACAATGTCTGAAGGAAAAGAAATAACATTAAGGGTTTTCAAATAGTCATTTATTCTTTGGAGTGCAAATTTCTTTTACCGCCAGCGCCCATATTCTAATATAAGAGAAAAGTAGATCGCTATATTCCACTTTCGGGTCATTCATCACTGTCACTGGTACCAATGTGTTTTCTTGACACTCTCTAATCTTTCTAAATAAAAAAAATCCCAACTTCCGCATGCTCTTCTCCGCAAAACTGGAAAAATAGTGAAACGTTTGTTTCAAAATTATTTTGTATAGTTTAATCTAATAGTTGCGAATAATGTCTCTGTGTTCATTTACCTTTATTCACTTTTAATTACCGGTATTATTCAATTAGTTATATTTTGGTGATCAGAAAAATCGGTCAGCCGAATGTCAATTTATTCTAATGCTTCTTTTGGCTAGTATTTTAAATGCTTCGACTGACTTAAGCTATATAATTTTGTGGCTGTCTATGTAAATTAACCCTTAATGGCTGTATTCTATGTCACTGGTAGGGTTATAACATGAAGATAAGGTAATATATCTCTTGGACTCGTCATTGAAAAACGCTATAAAAACAAAACATGGTTTATTATACAGATGTGAAGCAATCTCAGCCAGTGACTACGTTCAGTTCAGTAGTCAGATGATAAACAGCGATAGTAGAAGACACTGCGGGCAACTGAAGGAACTCCACGTGACCTCAGATAAGAACTTCATGAGGGTCACATTCAAATCGAATGACCGCCTCGACGGAACGGGCTTCAAAGCAGACTACATATTTCTGAGGGACTCCCAAATGAACAGCATGATAATGCCGGACACCGTTGACAGCAGTAGTAAGTTATGAACCATCTTTATAAATCTTTTTCAAGCCCAGTCCACATAGCATGGTGTAATCGAGATATTAGAAAAACGGGCGAGAGCGAGACCGAGTGATGTCTCACTTGTATGGGCATTACTCTCTAGTCATTTCTCGAGTTCCTCGAGTGATTTTCGAATCCGTCGAGTATTTCTCAAGTGTCTCGAGTAACTCGAGCGTCTCACGAGGTTTCATTTTTCATATTAAAATCACACCGTTTAGGAGACGGAAGAGATAATAATAGCGAGATAGGCAGTTGACTGAATCATTTTTGTAAATAGCGAGATAGGCAGTTGACTGAATCATTTGAACGTGTACATTTTTGGTATATTCGATGGCACCTATTTATACGAGTATAATAGAAACAAAACTCGATAAATTACAATTATATAACATTTTTCAGGAGCTTCTGGATCTGTCTTCAAAATTTTTATGCAAATTTTAAACGTATACACTTAATATTAGTAGTTAGTTAGTTAGTAGTATGTATATACAAGTATATTTATTTTTATTTTTTTTTATAAGTAGCTGTTGCTTTGGTCAGATTCACGTTAATCATACTTGCGGGTCGTCATTGTTTAAAGGGAGGTACTTTTTGTACTTTATGAAACTGAAAGAACTGTTTATAGAACTAAAAACTATCATGGATTTCTTTCGGAAAAAAAAAATTAAACTATCATACTATTGGTTCGCTTTGTTTAATAAACCAAATGTTATTAATTACTTTTGCACGTATTTTTAGAATATATCATGTAATTCTTGATTGTTTTCACATAACATACAATCCAAGAAATATTCAATAGAATTTATTAGAAATTTCCTTTTTTACTTCTCCAAATACATTTTATAAGTCGACTGTTATTTATCAACTTATAAGTCTACTTACTGTCAAAGTTTTCCATTTGAAATCGATAAAACAGATAAAAGACGATTGTTTGTTAGTGACTTAGACCAGAATGACAATAAGGATATCATTCGTATATTTTCAAAGACAATTATTTTGAGTATATAAAATGATCTAATTTATTCCGACTTTATTCCGACGTTTTTGAACCACATTATTTTGTAATTCATTTGTTTAAAAAATAATAATACCTCTCCCATCCTTACAGAGCAGCTTTATAAAATATTTAGTCCCTTTATCAATGTACAAGAGGCAATATTACTGAATTTGATGAGTATTAATTTAACTAAATTTCACTTTATTTTGATTCGGGTACTTAACTCGATTTCATTAAATATTCGACATTGTTCATTTTAAGGTAAACTTCCACTGAGTCTGAACTCACGCAACGGACGCACGGTACGCAACGTATTTTCCATAGCTTTATATGAATTTGTGTAGCACTTATTGCTTTTATAGAGCTTACTATATGTTACTCGCAGAGGTATGTCAAAACTGTTAAATAGTACTTCGATTAAAAATCCGAATGCAGTAGATTTTTGTAATCGTCAGATGCATACAATCTGTTGCGTACCGTGGGTCCATTGCGTAAGTGTAGACTTAGTGGACGTTTACCTTTATTGAGTAGGTAGAGGCTAAAAATAGAAATAGGTAAGTCACCGAATTTGTTTGTTCACGATAAAATGGCGGCAACGGTAAATCAGTGTCACTGCGAGATCATTAATAATGACGGTACTTTTTCTTTTTCATGTCATGCTATTGAAAATATTGATTTTCATGAAAAATTAACTATTGTTTACTGGAAGTTTCTTTAGAAATGTGATTGTGACATACCGAATGGTAGTTTTAGGACATTCACTTCATAAATTCATATCATATTGATTTGGTAATGACATGGATTTTGTAAATGCCGTTACTTCTATTTGAGCTGGTGGGTTTCTTTCATTCATTCTTATTATCAGAGAAACTGTACGTTCTGAACTGAATGAGTTTGAATTCCAATAACATAAGCAAATGACTTCACTATCGCATCAATCGAGTAAACGCCGAACGAACCGAACGATAAATACATGCGAGTTTAAGTTAAAATTACGTAAATTCGATTTGCTTTTACTCACCGTGAGAAGCGAAGGTTTGAAATAAACCAACAGCATTCTTAACAGCGTCTATAAGTTGCATGGACTCGTAGAGTTAGCTGTCTAAAATCAAACGGTTTTTGCGTATGTTCCTAACTTTTAATTTTAGTTAAAATATCCACCTATTTTAATCAAAGCTATTAAAACATTTGTACGACAATTTAAATTCGCGATAGTTATCATCAGCCTATTAATTTGACTTAGTACGTTATTATTATTATTGATATGTACCAGGTATTAACAATTGCAGATACAGCCGCGACCAATGGTTCGACATGCTTTCCGAAGCATGTATGACGTATGTGTCTGAATGTTTTTTTGTAAACTAACATATTGTAGATTGTATAATCACACGAACGGTATATCTCAACGCAAACCACGATAAAGTACCTTCACTAACACAGTTACAAATTAATATTCTGCCAACGCGAATACTAATTTGGTATGTTCTACACTAATTAATAATTAAATTCTCTTTGTTTCAGGTTCTCGGTACTCTTCGGAGGCTCTGTCGATTCGCCTTCTCGGATTCGTTCTGATATTGGCTTATTGAGTTGGAAAGTTTATACATACATGGATGAGTTAGAGGTTAATAAATTATCATTGTTATTATAATACGCATTTTTATTGAAAATGTCCATAGTACTGATATGTTTCGATATATAGTCACTTTTTAAATTGCTACATTAACATACTACTCTATCAGTGCTATTAATAAAGAAGGTTTAGCGTCAAAGTAGATTTACGCAAATACAATTTTAGTATTAGTCCAATTTATATTATACAGAGAATAAGCAAACCCTGGCTACCTTCTAGGAGTAAATGTTACTCCCGTAGAACTTTGTACTAGGTTAACCTTTGCTAAGTCTCTGTTCAATAACATGAATTTTAACTAATACTAAGTGCAGTCTCAGCGAAAATTTACTCCAACGCTAAAAGTTGTTTATTAATATATATTATATATATTATATGTTTATTAATATTGTTTATTAATATTATATATATATGTATATATATATATATATATATATATATATATATATATATATTTTTTTTTTTTTTTTGACGTATGTATCTGTATGTTTTTTGTAAGCTAACATATTGCAGATTGTATAATCACACGAACGGTATATCTCACCGCAAACCACGATAAAGTTCACTTCACTAACACAGTTACAATTTAAATACCTATATATATATATAGGTATTTATTAATAACACAGAATAGGTAATTTATTCTAAAAAGGGAACACATCATTGATTACGACTACAGAAGTTAAATAATGTTAATACTCTACAATCCGCATTGGGCCAGCGTGGAGGCTATTAAATGAATGATATCGTTAATTCGACGATAATTTTAACTGCAAATATCTTTGAAAGCTATTAAGAAATGTCAAAGAAATAAGTGGAATTCTGACTGCAATAGACAAATTTCACTAAGTGGAATTCTGACTGTAATAGACAAATTTCACTTAGTGGAATTCTGACTGCAATAGACAAATTTCACCAAGTTTTTATGAGATTTCTTTATCATTCCAATCCACATTCGTTCCTGAAGCGATTGTGACTAAAAGTTTCGTAACTCCATAAATCGCTATCACAGCACCTTTGAAAGGGATAGTAATAGATTTTGAAATAAGGCTTTAGGCCACATTATTTTTCACTTATCGTTTTTGTGTGAAGATAGGAAAATGGAAATTTCTTCTCAAAAAGTGACATGAACAACTCAAAAATATTTTCACATTATATTTTTCTAAGAAGCATAAGGGAAACACAATGTGTTAGACGCCTGTCATTCTACGCATATAATAAGCCTATGTTAAGGGTGTTAAAAGCATGTTACAGTAAAGGTGAGAAATACAGATCACTTGAATATTTCTATCCTATTCTAATATTACAAAGAGAAAATATTTGATTGTTTGTTTCAATGGAGTAGGTTCCGAAGGTACTAGACTTTTTTTTTTCACCTAATCCTAAGGGAAAATTCATCATAAACGGCTGACATAGGCTGTAATTTACGCGGGCGAAATGACGTGGAAACTTAATATTCTATACAATACAAGATAAATTGGACTCAAGTCTTAAGTATCCGAAATGGAATTCGAACTCACAATATTTCGTAATTAGTAGGACTGCTCTAGCTAATCGAGCTAGTCTAGATCTGGGGTTCCTAACCTTTTCATGATTACAGAATGAAAATAAGATAGGATATATACTATCTTCCCATACCACGTTATAGAATAAAATGTGTTGAATGAATGTACCATGTGCGGAATGAAAGTACGAGAGGTGACACAAGCAAGAACTAGTTTGAATGAGAAATTAGTAGAACATCATCCTGCCGGATAGGGAACGGTGTGAAATCCTTTTCTCAATCCAACTCCAGTCACAATGTCTTAACAATAAATAAGCATCATTGGGACTCGAATATACACTAGATGAATATTTCCACAGCTTCTATGATTTTTTCCTTACTTTTGACGTAATATACATGTTTGTGAATATTATTTAAAGAAATAAAATGTAAATATGGAACGCTATATTGACGATTTCCTCAGTGAAAGCGATGATAAAAATACAAATGACAATCAATATCGTTTCTTCACAATGTCATAATGGCGTTTAGGTGGTTTGAGACTGAATATAGATGCAACCTCTTTTTAAGTTCATAACACCCGCAGCAGCAGTGATACAGAACAGAGGTAATATTTCGTGCGCTTTTGACTTCTAATATTCCTTTTGAAGTGAAAAGAACACCAAATATTTGTTTAGTGGTGTCATAGTCATCATCATCTCCAGCCTATTAATGTCCCTATAGGCTCAGGCCTTCCCTATGGATGGATACGAATAGGTAGAATAAGTCATGATCCATCACGTGGGTCCAATGCAGATTGGTGGGCATTAACATCTGCAGGTGCAGCTGGGACCAACGCTTAACGTGCCTTCCGAAGCACGGAAGAGCTTGAGATTATAAATTGTTGGTCGCCCATCCTATGACTGACAATTGCAAAAGTTGCTTAATAACCTTATCGCAGACCGAGCGTACTAAACATTGCATCATCGAGCTTTAGTGGAGTAGTGTTGGGGAAAAATGTAAGTTGGGAAAACACAAAGTATCATAAATACTTTAGAAGAATATAATAATGAGTTTCTCTTAAATGTGAATATATCTTATTAACTGCTTTCCCGCAAATTCATCCTAGTAAATTAAAGCGTAGGTCGAAGTCGCGAGAAAAAAGTTAGTTAACATATAAATGATTTATTAATTTATTTAATATTTTTATTAAGTTAGATCTTGGTAGACGCCGAAACTATCAAGGATATATCGAGTATTGATTTCAAGAGTACAGAACTAACGCTTGGAAACAAGTAGCCAGAATAGATCACCAAAGTCGTCCTAAACATACACAAGTTCTATTTATTAAAGTGCTTTTGCGAGAGATATTAATACGGTTCACCGCAATTTTGGCCATCGGTTATAAGCCGGTTGGAAGGTCAGACTTTATGGCGTAAGTTAAGGAAATCATAATACAGCTCTGGCCAAATGCTCTTAAAATGGAAATTTGGCCAAAATTTTCCAATTAAAATCAATCGGAATCCCTTTTAAAGGTAAAGCGATTGTGGCAGCGAATTATAAAATTATGTAATAAATAATGTCGTAATTGCTTTCGGAAATAATGATGATTAAGATACATAGTAACATAAGTAATATTTACGTGTAATTCTTTCGTTAGTCAATTTCGAGTAACGTCAAATCAGCGATATCGTTCATTCAACATCTTAAAAAACGTCACAATTGCAATCATAAGTCAAACAGTTGTAGTTGAAAGAAAGAAAGAAAGAAAGAAAATATATTTTATTGACCACATAGGTACATAACAATGGTTTAACTTATTACAAAGGTGGTGGTCAATCAGGACTCTGCCTCACCATAAGCCATATCAGAGTAGCTTACCCTGATACGGCGCTGGTTATTCTGGCAGAGCCTGTACAAAAGGTTGGCGTTATAGATATATATACATAAATTATAGGTATAAACTAAATGAAAATCTTTATATACATATATATATTTACTTATACTTACTAATAAACTAAAATAAATAGTAATTACTGAATGTGTAAAAGAAATTGTAATAGTGCGAACATATTTCGCACTATCATTCAAAAGTCAATTTGAAAGGAATTGCTATAGATTGTAAACTAGACAACAGGCCCTATTTTATAGTTCGGCTTACTCTAACTTATAGAGTAGGATAGAACACGATAAAGTTGACGATATCTCAAAAATATGTTTTCAGTGTACTAGCCTTGCTTATGGAAGACTTTCATAGGATAGTAGAATATTACCCCGGTTTTGAAAATTCGCCATATCTGAGTTCCGGTTCGATTACCGGTTGGGTTATTGTAGAAAGTTATCTTTTCTATATTGTCTTAGGTACGATCTTTTTGGATATTTCTATAACACAAATGCTAAAAAAGGGATCTAAGCAATTCATGTAATGTTTTCCAAGTTTATTATTTTATTTCTGAACATTTTGATTCGTTTAATTCTAGAATGTTATCGAAAGAGCGTTTTGAAATAGGAACTTTAGGGAGAAATTTAACAATGCAATAGTAACAAATAGAATTATTTCTTACTTCTGTCGCACAAATTAGTAATTATTTCTTATCATGACACTAATATGTAGTGTTGGTCATGACGGGATCGTATCTTGCGGTTACATTTATCTTTTCGATAAAGAAAAAATATTAAAATTTGATAAGCCTTAAATTTTATTGAAATGTGTCAAGATTTATTTATACATATGACATATTTCGATAGTTACCAAATCCTGTTTAACAAATGGTTTACGCGTTTTACTTTTATTTATTTTTCTATATTATCAAAGAGTCATAACTAAATATGATATGATGATACTTCTAGTAGTAGTAGTGTAGAGTAGTCCAGTGGCATAGTGGACAAGAGCCGTGGACCGCAGAATTTTGTTTTCAGACGATAATCCTCTAAGAAATATGTTTCAGAATTCGAATGGTTCACAAAAATTGCCTCCCAAACTAAACTTAAATAACCACAAACTCAGCAAAAACCTAATTGAGATAAAGATAACATCGGGACGTCTGTATGTCAACATAGGTCACCTATGTTACTCACAGGGAATATACAAACTTTCCATATAAAACTTTCTCACTGGCCATCAATTTTATCTTACCCAGTGACCATATATTCACGAGAACTCGCATAAAATCTGTCATATGCGTACGTGATACTAACTTTGTTAATAAGAGTCCCTCCCAGGATAAGGTAACATTTTCTGATGTAGATATAAAACGCTTTTTAAGATATATACACTACGAATATATACTGTCTAGAAAGTGGCTCTATTGCACGCGAGTCTCCTCTCTTGTGATGATAACTTTTGGCCAGAACCGGGGCTGGAGCACTCCCTGCACGATCCCAGGCCTTTCCCCAGAAGATATGGTTCAAGGAGGGGGCTTAGTGTGTAAGTCATCCACGTTTTGACTAGTATTCGGGCGTGTCTGTGCAGATGGAGAGTCCCACACATCTCTTACCGACTATCGAGTGATGGGAATAGTGCATATAGGAGTTAAATGGTTACCTGGAAGAAATCACATTTTAGTGATCACATTTTAGTGATTTCTTTCAAGTAACCTTGCTATAAGGTTATTCGCAATGACCAAAAATATTATTATCTCGAGCTCCATCGTGCTTCGTAAGGTACGTTAAGCCGTTCGTCCAATTGATATAGTTTTTTTTTTTTTAGAATATTAAACAAGCAAGGTCAGAGATACTAAATGACATAAAGAATCACAGATTGCAAAACAAATATAGAGTAGCTCGGTGGCGTAGTGGATTAGCGCCGCGGCCCGTGATCGTAGTCGTTAAGCAACTTTCGCAAGGGTCGGTCACGGGATGGGTGACCAAAAAATTATTATCTCGAGCTACGCCGAGCTTGGAAAGGCACGTTAAGCTGTTGGTCCCGACTGCATTTGCAGTCGTTAATACCCTCCAATCCGCATTGGACCAGTGTGGAGGGTCATGGCCCATCCTCCTTAACCATCCATAAGGAAGGCCTGAGCCCCTGAAGTGGGGACGTAAAAGAGCTGATGATGATGATGATGATGAAAACAAATGTGAGAAATGACCCATTTGACAGCTAAAATGTTCTTAATAAGAAATTTTTTCTCTGATTATTATTTCTTAGTACTCATTATAAAATTCTAAAAAGCAGTTTCGTCTAGACAGGTTTAATAAGTATCTACATCTAATAATATTGTTCAGATTTCTTAAACTCATTGAACTGTAGTGCATATGTATCATGTATTCTTATTTATGTTCAAATCTTGAAACTTAATTTAATTAAACTTAAAGCTTTATCTTCAACTGGTAATTCTAAAATTTTACATACCGATAAGTTTAGATGGCCATGAATGAACAAACATATGGATACAATAAATTTCAATTAACAATTAAGTTCTAAAATTGTACATACAGATAAGTTTAGATGGCCATGAATGAACAAACATATGGATACAATAAATTTCAATTAACAGTTGGCAGCCTTATTACTAAAATGTGATTTCTTCCGGGCAACCTTGCCATCTGTACCAAATTATGATGCATGGTTAGCTAATATTTACATCATTATGAATCTATTACAGCCAATTATTCAAGAAAGTGTACTAATTTTTTAAGCACCGATACCACTTATACTGCGTGAGTAGTTTTATAATGTGAGAATCATATAAAAAGGTTCGCTGAGAAGATTAGGATAAAATTAAGTAAAATATAAGTATATAAAAAAAATCACACTGGACTAATAGAGATTAAGGGTCAAATAGTTAGCGCGATCGGCCTGTGACGCTCAAATTAACCAACTTTTGCAAAGGCCAGTTATAGAATGGGTGACCAATATTCTCTGTCTACGTACGGCGATGGTTGTGGTTGTTGACAGGTGCAGTCGTTGATCAATCCGCACTGTGATGGCGTGGTGGGAATGACCCATTCTTGCTATTCGATTCGATTCTCTTCAGGGGATTCCCGTGAACCAGCAGTGACTTAATAGACTCAAAGAAAAATATCTACGGAGTATTTATTCCACGTAAACGAAGGCGTGAGTTAAATCTAGTCTAAGAGTGCAAATATATCTAATTTCAATTTATCTTTTCATACTTATAACCACTTAAGACATCGTCCGATAATTTATGGAGGACACTGACTAGCTTGAGCCATGCGTCTACCCACAAAGATTCCCCTTATGTTTACACGAACTCTGATATAGGATGCGATGCTAAATGGTTTGGATAGGATAAGATGCCTCGGCGGTTTCAGGAAAGCCGCTCTGACTTACGACCATTTGGTGCGTATGGATTAATTTTCGAGGGACGCGACAATTCATATTGTTAATCATCGGCTTGGATATTTTGGAGAAGCAATGGAAACAAACTTAATTAAATTATACAAGTCATAATAATATATCAGACAAAAACACATACACTGCACATGTTTCAAGACAAGTAGCTGAAATATTGTGTAGTGTCGGAAACAATAAACGTACTACAACACACACCAGAGACAATATAGGAGTCTTTTTCATAAAATACTTTTCCTCGAAGGTTGTCTCGGAGAAATTGCTATTAGCATTAGGTCCGCTTTAAGTACCAATTTTTTTCATTGGTCTATAAAGTTTAATGAATAAAAATTGATCTAACATGACCCCCGGTAGTACACAGAACAGATAAAAGTTATTTCGTTGTCGTGTTGTGATAGAAGCTCGCTATAGCCTATTATATATTTTCCGCATGACTTGATTTTAAGAATTTCATTATTTTTTTATAAGAATATGTTTCTATCGTCGTAATTCTCCTTTTTTTTTGTGTTCCACAGAACGGTCCCCCGGATGCAATGAGCATTTTGTTTATCCAAGCCATGTGTGTTTTGTCTTAATTTTAGTTCTATTTTGACACTTGTGTTTTTATTTTTTCTTTTTATTAAGTTTCGATTTATTAATAAATCCTATTAATATTATAAAGGCGAAAGTTTGTAAGTATGGATGTATGGATGTTTGTTACTCTTTCACGAAAAAACTACTGGACGGATTTGGATAAAACTTTACAGCAATATAGGTTATACATCAGAATAACACATAGGGTACTTTTTACTGGGAAAACTTCTCACTCCTACGGGATACCGACTTCCACGCGGACGAAGTCGCGGGCGTCCACTAGTTAATAAATAAGTCATAGTATAGGGCGTAGTGGATAAGCGCCGCGACCCGCGATCGTTGTCGTTAAGCGACTTTCGCAAGGGTCGGTCACGGCATGGGTAACCAAAAAATTATCATCTCGAGCTACTCCGTGCTTCAGAAGGCACGTTAAGCCGTTGGTCCCGGCTGCATTTGCAGTCGTTAATACCCTCCAATCCGCATTGGACCAGCGTCACGACCCATCCTCCTAACCATCATAGTATATTTCTTAGGTTTTCGTATTTCTTTCCATTCCGGCCGAGAATATTGCCACAGTGTCACGATATTGTCAATTTTTTATCAATATTTGATGAGAGATCTATTGATATTCTAACTATTTTTCTAGATCAAGACACTGTATTTACGGAGCTAGACGTGAAAAAATTTTCAGCTTAAAGCTTTTACCTGCAAGTTTTTGAGACTAGCCTTGAATGTAAGTTTTCCTATAAAAATTTTGAAAAAATGGATTATAGGGATTTTCTTAAAGATATTTTTTGCTCAAATTATCTTTCTGTATAACACTTGAAAATCAAAGATTAGAATTCGTAGTTTGAAAAAAGAAACATTTTGCACAATTGTGCATTTAACCTGAAAATTCTAATTATTATATTTCATACATTTTTGAATATTTGTGAAAATATTTATTTCGGCTGTTTGTGTCGATTGACTGAACTTTGCTGAAAATTCACTCACTAATACAGAAAATTAACAGATTCTTGAAAAATTCGTCAGTTCTTTTGGGTCCTGGGTATCTCGGTGGTTAGAGCAGTCACCCGGGAAACGTTGTGGGTACCTGGGGCTGAAAAATTTTTAATCATTTTTCATTAAGAAAATATTATTATTAAATATGAGATAACATCACATACATTTATGTTACCAAAAGACGTGGATTCAAGAAAATATAGAAAGTTTATTTTTTACACTGACTCGCCCGGAATTCGAACATCGGCCCTCGGAAATGGAGACACCTTGAAATAAGCGACCCGCTTCTCCACAGATATCGTGTCTTTATCCTTTTATTTCTGCAAATATTGGATTTCGTTCTGTTCGTCGTCTGAAAATGTTAGTCTTGGTTAACAGAGAAAAATGGGCAAACAATATCTTAAGAGTCCACTTATTCCGCAAGTTTTGCCCTTTCTTCTGCTAGAGAAAATTGTTGTATTTTGTAATACTGTTTCCTGCCAAAACAGTTAGGAATGAAAAAATCATAGGAAGAATAAATTAAAGTTTCTGATATAACCGTGCTCAAGTGCACAGAAAAAATAGGCAAACATTTTAAAATCCATGTTTTGAGTTCTATTACATTGATAAATATTATAGTTAATTTTATTTAACTTCATTCATCTACGTACAGATGATTATAATATATATATGACCTCACTGTGGGTTACTAAAATGAGTCAAATTTCTCCATTTTTTTTTTGTATAATTTGACGACTGTACATTACAAACGGTTATATAAAAATCTTATATGAAATATTAACTTTTTATTACAAAATCCATTCTTAACTGACACTATAGGCCTTTAATACTTAACTCATTAATAATTTTAATGAATAATGGTGGAATTTTCCGTGGAAATTGATTATAAATCTTCTTTGAAATGATGAATGTATTGTGGAAATATTTCATTCAATCTCAATCAAAACGTTCTGTCACCGAATTATGGAGACGCTTGTCTAAACCAAAATTATGAAATTGAAATTATTGTAGACTAACGTTGCAAATAAAAGATTCGAGTCCAGTATCTAATCATTAAAAAGGAATAAACTATTTCACATTACAAGTAGGTATGACTAAATTTATTTATACCCTTTAAAAAAAAACTTTTGTTAATGACGGTTTGGGCAATATCTTTAGATAAGTGTTTTAATTTATCATTTTATAAATTTTGTCATTTGTTTATTGTTTATCCATTAACAGATAAACAAATGACAAAATTTATAATATGTCGGGTATAGTGTTAAACTATAAATATAACTATAACATAGCAAAGATCGATCAATATATGCTAAATATAGCCGACGTTTTGATATTGAGAAACTCGACGATTGCAATTACTCATACATATTTATGGAAATAATTTTTGACTCTATTATCTATTGTATTTCTTATAATAGTAATTTCGTCTCACTGAATAATCTGTTTACTTCATGTTGCTTTGTGTCAGCCTTTAAGCATGGTCATAACTACTCTTACAAGAACTTAAGTATTGTTATAGACGGAGAGCTCGTGACAAAAATGTGCAAGAGCTTTCTAAAGCTTGATTTTTCTGTATTTTGAAATACATCACTTAGTACCCAGAGCGGAGGTCAGGTATTTGAATATATGGTGGTGGCGGCGCGAAACATATTTCTAGCAATTGCTGATTTATTTGTTCCGTTAAATAAAAGACTAAGTATTTTTCACACCCACTCTGATAGCTGAGACGCTGCGTTTCATGATTGTTCAATCTGAATAGTTTAACCTTCTTTTTATATTAAGAACAGTTTTATCGTTAATTTTAAACTGTTAAATCACTTTTACATCCGTTACAATATATGTATTACGATTTTTCGTACCAGGTTTTCTAGCACTTGACCTTTGCACTGCGTGTTGAGTGATACCCTTATTACTTCAACATAGTGAAAATCAAGCTTTAGAAAGTTTCTGCACTATTTTGTCTTGATCTCTTAAACCGCTACAATTAATTAAGTTAATACGATAATCCTAATATTAACTTCTCCCAGTGTTTCTGAAGATTACATAGTTAACTGTTTATTTATATTGGACAAACTTAATGAATAACATTTTTGTACTGCCCTCATATAGAAATCGCAACATCGAGGGACCAACTACACAAAAGTTAATAATGAACGGCGAAATGAAGTAACTCGCATAACGCAATATTTATTATAATTATTATGCCGTTACACTACATAAGCATTTTTTTTATGCAGAGCGTCACCACTTGGGAGGCGTCAGCTGAAACTCGACGTTGCAGTTTTCTGTAACACAAGTCGCCTTGACACCATACTGGGTACACTCTGGGTTAAATAATAATAACTGTTGTTTTTAAAATGTCATTGTATGTGTGGTCAATAAACGTTTCAGTTTCAATTAACATACTTATATCAAGCTTTAGAAAGCCTCTGCACTCTTTTGTCACAACCTCTTAGACTACTAGAACTAATTTAGTTAATACGATATTACTAACATTAACTTCTTCCAGCTGTTTTGAAGATTACACAGTTGGCTGTTTATTCATATTGAACAAACTTAATGAACAACACTTTTGCCCAGCCCGCATGTAGAACTTTTTCGACCGCAACATCGAGGGACCGACTACACAAAAGTTAATAATGAAGGGTGAAATGGAGTGACTCGCAAAACGCCCGTTTGGCCTCACAAGCAAATTGGAAGTGATGTGCAAGTAAATCTGGTGAGTTCGTGAGACAAAATAATCTAGAGCTTTGTCAACGCCGCCTTCTTAAGTCTGTGTAAATAAATTACACGGTGAATTTTGCACGCCGTAAGTGCGATAGCTGTACTCGTTTTTTCTCTTGGCAAATGAAAAAGGTGAGCGCTTAAATAAAGGTTGTGATATGGCTTGACATTTTTTTTTTATTTTAATGACAAAATTTCTACCCGAAGTATTTTCTAAATACTAAATAGCTTGTTGTCGGAACTTGTCAGGGAGGTTATTGGTACCTATACTTGATGAAAAATTGCAACATTGCGAAAGGTTCGAGTCCCATCTTAGAGTACCTTGGAACTGGTGGATTTTTTAAGCATTTTTCATTAAGATTATTTTTCGGTATAGCATTGTGAATGCAAAATGGATCAAATATAAATATTAGTAACTATTTGTGAAAAACTTAGTCTATGTACGTTCTTCGGCAGAATTCAAACTGTGTGTAAATCGAAATGTAGTAATTATAATTAACAAGGAACAGTATTTTGGCCATAAAATGTAGCAAACAGTGCTGAATGATTTTGTATTTTAGGTGGATCTGAATAGACTCAACTTCTACTCCTAATAAGTTATGATAGTTGTACCACATTGTTAAATTAATGACAAAGTTATTTTGCTATTATTGTGTAATAGGCAGCCCTGAAACTTTTCATGGTACAAATCAGTTCTCGTGTTC